TGGAGCAGCAGATACTGTTGTTGTTGAATATTTGTTGTTGTTGTTCAAGTTGTTGTTGAGTTACTTGTTGAAATTGTTGAAGTTGCTGTTGTTGCTGCTGACGTTGTTGTAACATTTGTTGATGTTGTTGTTGAAATATTTGCTGATGTTGTTCAACTTGCTGTTGAGTTATTTGATAATATTGTTGAGGTTGTTGTTGATATTTTTGAGACTCTTGTTGTTGGTATTGTTGTGATTGTTGTTGATGGAATTGTTGTAGCTGATGCCGTCGCTGTTCTACAGTTAGATGTGGTCCGTCTTCATAGATGATTGTATCAGAAATTTGGTAGGAAATTTCCGAGCCGTCTTTACTGTCGTAGGGTGGATCCTGGTCGAAGATGCTCCTGATCCAGTTGGCCACTGGAATGTATCCGTGCTGGTACATGTCATACATACCTTCATGCACAGCATCGTCTGTCACCAAAGAATCTCTCATCTTCATTTTGTTATCCTTCATTCCTTTCATCTGCGGGCGTTATTGTTGGCGATGCTGGGTTTATGTTATGGTTGGATGTGTTGTTGTTTGTTGTTGCTTGTTTTTGTTAGTTGGCTTGAGAGTGATATTGAAAAAAAATCAACTAACCTCGTGTATGAGATCTTCGAAAAGAGTTTTGACGAAAGTGTAGTTGAATGAATTGATGCAGTAGATGCCCTGGAAGGAGTCCACCACTCTCTGCGGCAAGAAGCGATTGATTGGCAGAGCAGACTTGTACAAATCTTTCTGTTGGCGCATGAATTCACGTTGTTGGAGCATTGCAATTTGTTCTTAGGTGCAAAATAATTTGTAGACTACTTCAGCTCCTCTTAGTCTGGCAACGTGTCTCCGTTGTTTAGTTTTTGTACGTTATTTTGTTTTATTTATTTATCGTTAAATTTTTAAATTATTTTTAAATGTTATGTGAAAAAATCAACTAAATTGTTAATTCGAAAAAAATATTTCAAGTTTTTGATAACATTCACGTAAACTCTATTGAAAACCCACTAAAATGTTTCTGATTACTTTTTAGAAAAATTCTTGCTGTTTTTCAGTATTTTTATCACTAATTAAAAAATGTGTCTTGAATATTTTTCAAACTAACTAGATGTTGGTGTTTTGGTAAGTTTGTTGAAAGTTCTATTTCAAAAGTTAAAAGTTTAATTCTTTTGCTCCTTCTCACAGCCCTTTTGTCCTCAGCGAAATATCATCTACACACATACTCTCTGCAGTGCTGGGGGCTATAAAATGCGCCCTATGCAAATCCCTCATTAGCACCTTTGACTAAAAAGTAATTATTCATTTTCCAAAATAGACTTCATTAGATTTCCATTGACAGCAATTATTTTATGTTAACTCATTTTTAATTAACAATGTATGATAATTCAATGTATGTGTGTGAGAACAAAAATGGTTTATTTATATTTCATCTAATATTGTATTGTTAAACAGTTTTAATTAATGTAGTTGATATGGAATGTTTTTTTTATAAGGAGTTCTTGCAAATGGGCTATCTTGAAATGGCACCCCGCTTAACTGACCAGCTAAGGCTTGTCCTACACCCTCTAATAAGTTAATTTGACAAGTTAATTTTGAAAATGAATGAATCATTAAAGGAAAACATTGACACTTAAGAAAGAGAATTGCAAATCTGTAAATAAGACAGTGTTGAGAACCTTGTTGATGACCAGGTAGCAGGGGGTTGTTGCATTCTTGAAGATCTTCAAGCGGTCCAACACTTCAAGCTTCCACCTGAGGCACGATCGGCATGTTTCTGGCGAGTTGATATCACAAACCATGACGACACCAGACAGGTTGCCCAAACAAACCTCTTTGTAGCTCTCAAACTCTTTCACTGCATTTCAAACAAGTTTTCTATGTTAATTTGCTTGTATGTGCGCACGTATTATATATATATATATATATATATATATATATATATATATATATATATCGATATATATATATATAAGTATATATATATATAATATATTAATAATAACATTATTATTATTGTTGTCGTATTTGTAAGCGCCGTTTAAAAAGATCTAAGATGCGCTAACGATTAATGCACTACATTGCATAGTACTTTATTGAAGCGATGTGATGAATGGAGAGAAAAAGACATTAGCGCGGGTAAGCCTGGACAAAAAGATGGTGTTTCAACCTTCTACGAAATTGAATAACAGACAACGCAGGTTCCTAGGCAAACCATTCAGACAGCAGAACCTATTACGGAGAAATTCCTTTGACTAAAAGCCATGTTCGTCTCGTGTACAAAGAGTAATCCTGAATTGTCAGAGAGCAATGTTTGACTCAGCAGTGGCATTGTTTTAGGAATGACTCTTAGGGGCAACTCCCTTAATACATTTAAAAACCGTTAAATATATCTTGAATATATATATATATATATATATATATATATATATATATATCCACATGCATGCACCTACGTCAGACTGTTTGTATGTGTCAATTAACATAAATTGTATGTACTAACAGTCGACTTCCATAAAATAGAGGTTGGTCTTGAATTCTATCATGTTGTGCAGGACCGTCACATTGCGGACACCCTTTGCCACCTTTTAATGTTAAATTTAATAAAAATTATTTCTCTTGCCTATAGATAAAACTATTCATTTCTGTCAAATCTTTCAATCGATTATTGCAAGTTTTCGCGTTTTCAAGTTTATATATATATATATATATATATATATATACACACAACAGTCTGAACCCAAATATATATATATATTATATATATATATATATATATATATACACGACAGTCTGAACCCAAATATATATATATATTATATATATATATACATATAATATATAAAGTTCTATAAATTAAATAAAATAAGTTTGATAAACAAAGTGAAGAAGGTCGGTGAGTTAGCTTAGTCGGTAGAAGTTCCGTGTCTCGTACTGTTATTACGCGATAGCCTGGTTTGAACACTGTCTGCCCAAAATTTAGATTATCATACGTTATGTGCGCATGATGCAGCGTTTGCGCGTGCATACAAAATGTGTGTGATAGTCGTGTTGTATAGATTGTACAGCCTTTGTGGCGCAAATGCTCAAATGGAAGTTTAGAATGACGTGAGCAGTTTTGCTTGCTTTTGACAGAGCTGTATAAAAAAAAAAAAACAAAACAAAAAAAGGCTTTAAAACCTGTTTTTCCTTCTCGCTGTTTTGTTGTTCAGACGGTGGCGGTGGTGGAGGATCAGAACCTTCAAAAAGATCGTGAAGCTCGCTACGTATTTTGTTAAATAAACGTGGCCGACCAAATTCAGACTGTGCCTTGAGTACTTTTGACTTCTGCAATTCAACCTCTCTTCTTTCTCGTTCTGATCTGGCAATTTCGAAGGATTTTTCATCGGAGAATTTGTTTTCCATTCTCGAAATGAGTTGCGATTTACCGACAGAACTGTCCCCAATGACAAGTACTTTGAAGGAATTTTCTCTCTGAAATATCGTAACTTCATCCATGAATTCTTCTATGATCTTTACTACCAGCTTGCTAGGCGTGGCCATCGTATCTGGCGTCGTATGTGTGTTTGCTTGTGTTTTCTTTTGTATTTGTTTTTTTTTGGATGTGTTTGCTTGTATTTGTCGGTGTTTTTGTGTTTGTTTGTAGCTTTTTTATGTGTTTTTGTTTGTGACGAAAGAATTTGTAACATATATTATAACGATGCAGCTACCAAATGATTCTTAGGCTAAATTTAACAAATTGAATTTAAATTTAAAGTAAAAATAATTTTTGGAATAAAACTTTTGTAATAAATAACAATGAAGTTTGATCTAGATTCGAACTAACATTGCTGTTTTTTATGTCTAGTAAAATATGCATCTTTTTTAATGGCAAGTGCCAACGCAACAATTACGCAAGAATGAGTAATAATTCAATAAGTTTGAAAGTAGGAAACAAAACAATTTGAATTCATTTAATAAATTGGACGAGGATTTCTTAGGTACAACATGAAATAAATGGAAACAAATAATGCTAAAAAATAAAAACGCTTCAAAATAATTCATTCATTGAATAACTCATTTACGGAAATGGTAAAAAATTCACTTTTATGCAATTTTTTTAATAATCCAAGCTTAAAAATAATTTCAAAAATATTTACATACCGTAATAATCCATGATTCCCATGACTGCCTCAAATAAAATCTAAAAACTCAGAAATAAATTAAAATAAATTTAAAATCGCAAGTTTTAAAAATCCTGAAATTAATATGATTTCAAAAACTTGAGAAAGTTTTTTTGTTCATGCAAGAAACAATCTTAAGCAACCTGAAATGGGATTGTTAGCAATGTGTGTGTGTGTTCATGTGTGTGCACGTGTGTGTGTGTGTGCATTTGTGTGTGCACATGTTTAATGTCTTAACATTTCAAAGCGAAGTTCTTAACGCTGAACTGGCTTTATTTTGTGCTCATAAATTGTTCAAATTGTTTGAACAGTTGAATACTCAAGTAGGAATCGTGAGTTTTAAATAATTTATCTGTATTTCTATATTATTATTATTATTATTGTTATTATTATTATTATTATTATTATTGTTATTATTATTATTAATTAAATCGCGTCCTATGCATAGTTTCAGGGACGCTTGAATAAACAAAAAATTTTGACGTTTCCGTAGGCCTGGATAAGCAAAAATTTTTTTAATCGTTTCCAAAAAAGTTTGATGGTTGGTTGTTGACGAATAATGGCAGGCGGGGCAAACCATTCCATATGGAAGGAAAGCTGTACGTAAAACATTTGTTGACAACTGATGAATTGCTGGCAGGTTGATGCAACTGAGTATATGAAGGCGAACGAAGTTGACGAGTTGATGAACCACGCGATATAAGTTTAGAGGTTGAGTAGAGAGAATAATCAGCCAACAAAACGTGTGATGGGGGGAACATTTGATAAGCTGTTGCGGAGTGCAAAGAAACATTACTTCAGATTTGTGGAGATTTAGCTGAAGAAGGTTTGATAAATGACAATCGTTTATGGCCATAATTTAGAGAAGTGTATTTTTTATAATTTGTATGTTTCTTATAACTATGCGGTTTTTTATAATTGATAATGCACAACCAGTTTTCAAATGGTATTTGAGCACAAGAGATTTTACTACAGACAAATATACATGACAATTATTTTGATTGTCCTTCACTTTATACTAGCCATTTCAATTGTTCGTCCGTTTGTTCGCTCGTTCGTCGTTCGTTTGTTTGTTATTCGCTCAAACTTTGCTTAAACAATTATATTATATAATCAGCTATTTAATGATGTTTTGTTTACAACTAGATCAAATTTACAGAAAATTCTTTTTCACTTCTTGTATGTTGATTCTTGATTTGAAAATTGAACCAAAGTTTCTCATTAAGAATAAAAAACCAAAAAACAAAATTTTAAAGTTTTAATTGAAGCACAAATTCATCAAAGAAAAGATGACAAAGATAGTTAGTATTCGTAAAAGTGGAACATTAAAAATAGATAGTGCCCAGCTGTTCATTGCCTTCCTTTTTGTCTGTCTGTTGTCTTATCTTGTCTGTCTGCCTTCCTATTTGTCTGTCTGTTGTCTTATTTCGCCTATCTGCCCACATACTTTTTTCTCACATCTGTTTGTCTCTCTGTCGGTCTGCTTATCTATTTATTTGTCTGTATGTTCAGTCTAACATTTGTACATGCGAGTCCACACATGCACATGATTTTTATGACTGTTGTTTTTAACCATACGATACATTTTATTTGTCTCCAAAACGGAAGAAAACAGAAGACAGGATGATCATAAAATGTTAACAAGTAACCTACTATCGAGTATAGCCACCTTACAGACAACTAAAAAGAGAAAAAATTATTTCAATTTACAATAATAAAATATACATACAGTGCCAACCTAGAATATCCCAAAGGCGATTTTAAAACAAAATTAATAAATCATAATAATACTGGATTAAAGTAAAAGTAGCACCTCTACGATATACCAAATAATATACATTAATATTCATTCGTCTGAGTACTAAAGAAATTGCATTTTTAATAGACAATAGACACATCAATTATTATTATTATTATTACGGAAATTTATATACAGCGCTTTTTTATTGTTGAATCTCAAAAGCGCTACTAAATCATAGACAAATAAGACGGACATTCATTGTGCAAATAAATAAGTTTTAAGTTGACTTAGAAATTGTAAATATGATAGTTTAGGGTCACGTAAGTAAGGAGGTAAACCATTCCAAACAACCGGGCCAAGAACTGCAAAGTGGCGGGAACCCGTCACCAATTTTGTGGTCGGGATAAAAAATAAATTGCGCTCGGTTGATCGGGAGGAATATTTTGAAAAATGAGATTTGTATGATTCCAATCTATCGATGAGATAGGGAGGTGCTGTATTATTGACACATTTAAACGTCAAACTGCCAACTTGAAGGAAACACGTTTTTCAACCCTCAACCAGTGCAACCTATTCAAAATAGGCGTAACATGATTTACCACGAACCACCCAAAACCAGCTTGGCCGCACGATTCTGTATTGACTGAAGCTTTGAAAAAGACCTTTTGGTGACACCATAAAAAAGGCCATTGCAGTAGTCCAGTCTGAAAAAGACGAAAGAGGAAACCAAACTTTGAAGAACAGACGTGTTTAATGATTTTTTGACATTGCGTAATAAACGGAGTTGGTTGGAGCAGACCCTCACTAAATTATTAATACGTAAATCCATCTTTAGGTTTGAGTCAATAATAACTCCAAGACTACGGACAGACGTGGAAAATTCAATGATGTCATTGCCGACACTGATCGATGAAATTTTGACCTTTGACAGCTGCTGCCAAGAACCAACCGGTAATATTTGTGTTTTAGATTGATTTAACTTTAACTGATTCATACTCATCCAAGATTCAATTTCGATGAGACAATCAGTCAGTTCATTCAGAGAAGCATCAATCGAATCAACAGGACAAGAAACCAATAACTGAATATCATCAGCAAAGGCGTGGGAGCTGAATTCATATTTTTGAATGATATCAAAAACATCAGCAGTGTACATAAGAAACAACAGAGGTCCCAACACAGATCCCTGGGGGACACCAAACGATAGTTTGTTTATGTCAGAGAGGGTGTTGTTGTAAGAAACCTGCTGGGTGCGGCCTAAAAGATAGGAAGCAAACCACGATAAGACTGAATCAGAGAGAAAAAAATTTGTGGAGAGTTTATACATGAGACGAGTATGATTGACCCAATCAAATGCAGCACTCATATCAAGTAATGCCAATATATATCAATATATATATATATAATATATATATATATATATATATATTATATATATATATATGCATACATACACAAATATCAAGATAGTATCTTCACACAACTATGATGTAAATAATGACTATTTAAGAAATAACACATTTTAATAAACATTCTTCCATAAAGAAATCATATTCACTATTTATTATTTTATTTACTATGAAATTGCATACATCTGAAAGAAACCCCTTACTATTAAAGAAATTACACGTAATAAAACATTCTTTCATAATGAAAATATACTGACATTCACTCATCTGGAAATCAATAAACGTTCATTCATATTTTAATTATGACCATCCGGGTACCCATAACATATGTGAGTACATAAATATATATCAAGATACTATCTTCACACAATTATACGTGAGCATATAAATGCATATATTTCTAATTTCTTATTCACTAAATTTGATTAAGAAAAATTTTTTTCAATTTTTTAAAGTTAAACTGTTGGTCTTTAATAGAAATTTTAAATTATAGTTAGTTAATAAGTAATTCCAAATTTGAGGACCATTACAATATATATGAAAATACAAAATAATTAAATGTTGATGCTTACTAATTAAATAATAAGTAAAATAATCACAAAAAATCACTGGTAAAAGACTTGATTTTTGCTTTAGAACAAGTATTGCACAAAGGTATCTAGGTAGATCGATAAAATTTAGGTTATATTTTAAGATGTTGAGTCAAAAAACTGCAAATTGGTGATTATCCTCATAGCCCTTTTCACCGGCAGTTGTAGTGGCAACGTCGATGAAGGATACGTGGATGCCCAGATAATATTGCCATATACAAGAAATTTACCTGTAATTGTATGATAATATTTACTGCTAATATTACTATTTAATGGTCTAAAGTAAAAAATTTCCTTGCAATTTTTTGTTTTTGGACTGGTATTACTTTTGCAATTTTGAAAATTTTTAGGAATACTCTTTCATATAATGAACTGTTGATAAGATATATGGTTTGTAAGAACTTACAAAAACCATGGGCTCGTACGCATGTGTACGTATACATGCATGTACATATATGCTTGTGTATGTGTAAATACACAGCTGTGCATACACACGTATTTACACATAAAGACGTAAACATGTAGACGCATGTGCACAGACATGTGCAAATACAGACACATATATCCATACATGTACAGGTACACATACACTTGCACATTTACACATGAGTTAACGTACAGATATATTAAAATTATAAAA